CTTTATGAAATGTAAAATTCTTTGTACACACATTTACATTTTGTTTAAGTAATGATTCGGCGACGGCAGGAGAAGAATTCAGTGACTTAGTGGTTAAGATAGGAATATCACTATATTTTGGAATATTTTTTTATATATTCCCCAAATTTGACGCTAGGGTTATATGACCTTTCATTGTAAAGTTCTTATATAAACTTTGTCTACTCTTATGGACTCCTACTGTCGCCCATTCATTAAATGCTTTGAGATTGTTCAAGGAGAATGTTTTAGAAGTAAAAGTATTATTAAATTCATTGCAAATAAGCTTAAATAATGTTCCATACAAACATATTCCATATTTTTCCATATTTCAAATATAAATCCATATTCCACAAGACATTAAATAAATTTATCCATATCTTCATTATTATATGTTAGATGGATCAGCAGCTCTCTGAAATGCCTAAAAATTAGTTTTAGTTAAACATGACCAAGTGTTCTTGCTACTTAGCGATGCTGCTCCTTATATGGTAAAAGCTGCAGTTGCCCTACAAGTTTTGTATCCAAAAATTATTCATGTGAAGTGCTTGGCTCATGTTATAAAAAGATGAGCTGAATGCTTAAGGTCTCAGTTTAAAAAGGTTGACAGTTTAGTATCGGCGACAAGCATACAATCAACCAGGACGAATTTTGTTTTAAGACTATTTCAATTCCCTAATTAGTGTTGTTTCGGACGGCAGGGACACGTCCAGTGCCCGCAGTCGCCCTGGGACAATCTCCCACTTTATGACGTACGTTCCTTGCCTAGTGCTGGTGACGCACGTCCCACGCACCCCTGAATGCGTATGTATACTACGACCCAACTAGGACCCCGAGAGAGAGAGAGAGATAGACGTTCAGCCGGGAGGAGGCAATTAAAACGCTTTTCTTCTAGGTAGCTCCTTTTTCCTTAGTGTTGTAGCCTCTTCGACCAAGTGAATGTGGGAAGTCAAATTTTGTAACAAATTTCATAAAATCAGTTACAGAAATGTGTAATTGTGATTTTAATCAGATCGCATGGTGTTTTGATGCAATGCAACCTTTATGTAATTTACCAAATGTTAACTATCATCAAGGAATTCCAAATCTTAATGTGTTTGATGGTGAAAACCCACATCTCGTTATTATTGATGATCTAATGAGAGAATCCGATGGAAGAATTGTGGATATATTTACAAAAGGTAGTCATCACAGGAATCTCAACGTATTTTATTTAACACAAAATTTATTTCATCAGGGTAAAGGGCAAAGAGACATATCTTTAAACTCAAGTTATATAATATATTTTAAAAACCCTCGAGATAAAACTCAAATAAGATATTTAGCACGACAAGTGTCACCAGATAACCCAAAAGTCATTGCAGATGCCTACAGGGGTGCAACTCTAGAGGTACATGGATATTTAATGGTAGATTTAAAACGGAATACCAATGATTTTTGTCGTATCAAGACAAATGTCTTGCCATTTAATGGTTTCTGTACAGTCTACGTCCCCACAAAAGAGTTTAAATACACCAAGAATCAAACAATTCAAATCATTGTTAAATGATGCATCGTCGACTCACAACGCATAAACATTTGCTAAACGCTTTGCATACGATTAAACCAAAATGTCAAAGAGCATTATTTAAAACGTGTGATGAAGAAGAAATTAACTGTATTTGTGAGTGTATTCATAACGTTTTACAGGGAAAAGTACCTCTTAAAGATAAACAAAAATTGAATAAACACAAAAATATACTTCGTATACCAGTACGTAAGTGTAAACATATAGTAAGAAAAAATATAATTATACAAAAAGGAGGGGTTTTCCTACCAATAATATTAGGTGTAATATTGAGTGGATTAGTGACAGACTAGCCAGTTAACATGGAAAATGCAAAGAAAATGATACTTATCGAACCTGGATTGATTGAAAAATTAAAACAAGAAAATAAGGTTAATAGTAATTTATCTCGATTAGATATTGAAATGCAAATATTATGAATAGTTATACGGAAGACCGAAAGAAATGGATGGTATATTTACAAACACTGCAAAGATACCTTCATTTTACCGAAGAGGATCGTCAACCACTCAGATTACCAATTTATTCTGATACATCTAATGACGATTCAAATGAGTCTAAAATTTATTTTAAAAATAAAGATAGAGATCTAAAAACTTCAGTTGATGCTGAATCTTTGTTGGAGGAGAATCGATAAAATAAAAGTAAAGAAAATGATGAAAATCCACTTTACACACCAGCTCATATACTCAGTTTAACAGTTAGACAGTTATTATTAAACTTAGTTGAAACAAGTAAAAGTAAAATATATTGGGATAATGAGGGTACAGTCATAATTGATAATGAAAAAATTCCTGGAAGTAATATTGTTGATTTAATAAATGATTCACTAAGACCCTTAAAAATAAGTGGTCCAGTAGGGTGGGATAGATTTGCATTAAAAGATATTAAACTACAACTTACTTATATTGGAAATCCAAAGAGATGTGAGTTTATTAAAGCAAAAGATCTGAACAAACCCTACGAGATTGAAGTTCAAGAGTTTTTTACACCGAGTAGAGGAGATACAAAATCTATAACTAAAATAGAGTTTTCTACACCGAGCAGTAGAGATAAAAAGTCTACAACTAAAATACGTAAAAGGCTTGAGTAGGAAAAATGGACCCCGTACTAGAAGAAATTAACAGGATTTATTATTATCCATCTAATCCCGCTAGTTTTAGTAGTATTGATAAATTATCAAAAGCTATGAAGGGTAAAATGAATAAAAAGCAAGTAAAGGAATGGTTAAAATCACAACAAACATACACATTACATAAACCCATTCGAAAAAAATTCCCGCGTAATAGGTACATTCTCATCATCATCATCAACATCATTACAGCCCTTCACAAGTCCACTGCTGAACATAGGCCTCCCTCAAGTAACGCCACAAAGCACGGTCCTGAGCCACCTGCATCCATCGACTTCCTGCATGTCTTACCAGGTCGTCACTCCATCTAGCGGGGGGTCGCCCTACACTACGCCTACCAGTACGAGGCTGCGACTCGAGAACCTTTCTTCCCCATCAGTTATCGGTTCTTCGAGCTATATGGCCGACCCACTGCCACTTCAGCTTACTAATCCGATGGGCTATGTCGGTCACTCTGGTTTTACTGCGGATATCCTCATTTCTGAGTCTATCACGCAGAGAAACTCCGAGCATAGGCCTCTCCATAGCTCGCTGAGCGACCTTGAGCGTCCTCATACGGCCAGCAGTGAAGGACCACGTCTCTGATCCGTAAGTCGCCACTGGCAACACGCACTGGTTGTACACTATAGTTTTCAGAGATTGAGGTATACCTGACGAGAAGATGTGTCGTAATTTCCCGAACGCTGCCCAGCCGAGTTGAATCCGTCGATTGACCTCTCGGTCGAAGTTAAACCTACCTAGTCGGATTCGTCCGGATATTTGTCCCAGGTAAACGTACTCGTCAACAACTTCGAGCATAGTGCTCCCAACAACTACCGGCATAGGTGTGACATGGACATTGAACATGATCTTTGTTTTGTCCATGTTCATCTTAAGACCTATCCGTTGGGAGACACCATTGAGGTCATTGAGCATAGTGCTAAGGTCCTCCAGCGATTCTGCCATAAGGACTATATCGTCGGCAAATCGAAGGTGAGTGATGTACTCGCCATTGATGTTAATACCGTATCCTTTCCAGTCCAGTAACTTGAAAACGTCTTCCAACGCAGCGGTGAAGAGTTTTGGGGATATAACGTCACCCTGTCTTACACCTCCCTGCAGTTGGATAGGTTTCGAACTCTGGTTCTGTACTCGGATAGCAATCGTAGCCCCACTGTACAAACACTTCAGCACTTCGATATACCGACAGTCAACTTGGCACCGCTGAAGGGACTGTAGCACCGCCCAAATTTCGACGGAATCAAAGGCTTTCTCATAGTTCACATAAGCCAGGAAAAGTGGCAGATTGTACTCTTCGGTCTTCTGTACAATCTGCCGCAGTCTGAAATAATTAGCTGAACAAATTATAGCTAGGCAACAATAAAAACTAAATGGATGGATGGACATAAGTATAAAATTGAATAAATATATAACATAGGTACTTATTTCTTTAAAAGGCTCCTGGTACTTGTTGGATTTACTGTATCTACAGTACAATTCATTTATGAATGGTACTGTAGGTAGCAGCAATCTTGCTATAGGTTGAAACATAACGCAACGTTACACGATTTGCAAAGTAAATACAGATAAAATGTACATTAAAAAAACCAGTATAAGAAATATGTGTCTGAGGTGACCTTAAAAACCACAACCTGTTCATATTAAATTAAAAAAATAAAAATTTCAAATATTAAATATTAAAAAATATTAAAATAAAAATATTAAAAAGCATATTATGTAAATACTATCTAACTTTCTGTTTTAATAAATTGTTTAAAAAATTCCGAAGTCTTGTGTTAACCATACATGACATATCCAAATGCCACATTCAATTTTTTATAAATCATCGAATAATCGTGGAGTCAACCAAGCTCCATTTCTCTGCTCGAGGGCGCTAGATTCTTTACCATTCTAACCATTTAACCGAATTTGAACTTGATGCAGTATGGCAAACTTTAGTTCCTTTTTTCGCCACCCGCAAAAAAGAGAACTAGAATTCACTTCTACGGACGTCTCAAAAATGGACACTATTGCACCTATTGCGTATATACATTAAAATTTTGAAAATATTGCACTTTATCCACATTTTGATGTACTAAAACTGTGAACGATGAACAATTATACATATTTTAACACAAAACTGACAGTCAACACTAAAATTTTACGTACATTTCAAGTCAACTCTCGTCAACCAGCATGTTAGTTTTAAGATAGCAGTTTGCTTCATACATATTAAAAAACGATTTTACACGTACTTAATAAGATAAAACACAAAATGAGATTACAAATAAGAAGATTACTTACCCAGGCATTGTTTTAACACAATTCACCACACAATAAATATAAATTAATACAAAATAATTACAAACAACTTCGTTGTTAGCGCGCGTCAATCACACTAATGGCTGACTCAAGGAACGGACGACATTTAAGAATAATTTAAATAAAATATACTACTAAAGTGTATAAGCTGTGGGGTTTTTATGCTAGCCTTTTTTATCTTGTACACATTGACATATGGTAGAATGAGTTAGAAATAGCGCATAATGCTTTGTTTCTTCATTAAAAGAGCGGGTAAAAAATGTCTAACACTTGGACGCCCGCAGTCAACGGAGATATTTTCGTGTCCAAGTCTTGGACATCCGCAGTTGAGAGGTTATACAATAACAGATTTACAAAATGAACCAATAGTTGGTACTTTTTATGAAAGAGAATCACAGAAAATCACTTACAACCCCACCTCACAATATAAAATAGATAAAATAATTGACACTCGTTATTCAGGTAACAGAAAAGAAGTATTAGTGAAGTGGAAAGGTTATCCAGATAAATTTAACAGTTGGATTTTAGCTTCTAGTTTAAAAGAAATATGAATAAAGAAAGTTTTTATTTAACTTTGCTCAGCAATAGTTCAATGGAATACTTTCCTGATAACAAGACCACAAATTTTTCAAAGAAATTACCGAAAGCTATTAAATTTGAAGGTGAAGTGTCGGTTGGAGTTGTCGAGTTTCAATATCCATGTACCATGTTTACTGTTCAAGATCATGAAAATGTTATATACATTACAAAATCTATGTTGATGCCTAATGAAGATAAACCATCCATAGTGTACTACAAAAAACATATTCCAGCTACCAACTATGATAACGTTGAGCATATTTTAAGAGTGTTAAATGGTATCGGAGAGAACTTGAAATTTCGCTATGATGAAATAACAAAACTTGTGTCTATTTCTGTTTTGGATAAAAATATAACATCCGTAACATTATCACCCAAATTAAGTTTACAACTAGGCTATGAACCAAATAAAAATCTCATGGAGAGAAATTTTGGAAAGTGTCCTGCTAATTTACACTTAGGGTTACCATCTCAACTATTTCTATATTGCGACATTATCGATCCTCAGATTGTGGGTGATGTTATGACTCCTTTACTAAGAGTCATTTCATTAGATCCTACAAAATATATTTATGGTGCAAATAAAATGCACGTTTTCTCTCAACCTCATTACTTACCTGTTATGCGAAGAGAGTTCGATACGCTAGAAATAGTTATAAGATCGAGCACAGGACAAAAAATACCATTCCAGTTTGGAACTGTGTGTATTAAACTACATTTCCGAAAATTATAATAATGAATTCTCTTCGTGATCATCATAAATGTCCGTATGAAAATTATTATACATATCAAGCTGAGTCAGGAGTTGGAGTAATTTATAAGAGTTCACCATACCAACGCCGTCATGGTATTGGGAGCTTCTTAGGGGGGTTATTTAGATCAGTTTTACCTTTACTTTCAAGTGGTGCTCGAGTGATTGGTAAGGAGGCATTAAGCGTTGGAGTAGGACTTTTATCGGATATGGTTCAAGCGCATCCTATGGAAGCCTCAATTAAAGATCGTTTAAAGCAAGTTAGTACGAATTTAAAACGAAAGGCTGATGAGAAAATTGATCAATTTAACATGACAGGATCTGGGTATAAAACTAAAAGAAAACGATTGACCTCGTTCATTCCACCATTAACTGCTAAAGTGCAAGCTGCGAAAAAAACTTGGTCTCAAACCAAAAAATATCAGATATATTTTCAAATTAAATATGTCTTTCCTTGATTAAAACTGGGGACCCCCGTGACCATGGGTGCTGGAAAGCGCCCGAAACGTCGGGAATTAAAAGTAAAAGTAATTAAAAGTAAAAACAAACGCGATAAAATCCGTAAAAGTAGTTGTAATCATGTGTAGTGTTCGCGTAAATATAAGAAATCATTATGTCTTTCCTTCATAATCATTCTTGCGAGTGCATTAGGTCAGAATTGAATTTGTTTGCACTACCGCCTACACAAACTAGCATTGAAAACGGATTGTGGATTCATTATAAACCAATTTCATCTCTTGGTGATGATGGACCTATCGAGTTTCAAGTTCCTGGGACAGGCGATGACTACGTAGATTTGTCTCACTCCACATAAAGGCAAAAGTGTTAAATCAAGATTCAACTCAACTCAATTCAACTTGATATCGACTACAATAGTAGCACCTGTAAATAATTGAATGCGTTCACTTTTTAGTCAACTTTATGTTTATTTAAACCAAAAACTTGTATCACCACCTAATAATACCTATGCATATCGAGCATACATGGAAACCCTTTTAAACTATGCTCCTGCTGCTAAACAATCTCATCTTACTTGTAGTCATTGGTATGACGATATAGCAGGAAAAATGGATTTTACGGATGGTAAAAACATAGGGTTTGTTAAAAGACAGGAATTGATTAGTGAAAGTAAGGAAATAGAAATGATTGGTCATCTTCTCGGTGACATTTTCAACCAAGATAAATTTTTAATTAATGGTGTTGAAATGAGTGTTAAACTGGTTTGATCAAGAGAGAGTTTTAATTTAATTGCTGGGTCAAACGATGTAAAGTTTAAAGTTTGCATTACGGACGCAACTCTTATTGTTCGACGAGCACGAATTAATCCAAGTGTATTACTCGCACATCAAAAAGTTTTAGCTTCTACCACTGCTAAATATCCTATTACTCGAGCTGAAGCAAAAGTTTTAACAATTCCATCGGGTGTTCAAGGAAAAACTCTTGACAATATATTTTTAGGGCAGGTACCCAAAAGATGTATAATTGGATTTATGGACAATTCTGCATTTAATGGTTCCCTTACTAAAAATCCATTTATCTTTGAAAACTATGGTATTAATTCTTTCAGCTTATATATTGACGGTCAACAAATACCTTCAAAAGCTTTGCAACCATCTTTTAATAATAGTGTATTTACATCAGCATATCATACTCTATTCTCGGGAGCTGGTATTCACTTTCTTAATGAAGGAAATGGAATCTCTTGTGAACAGTATGCCAAAGGTTACTGTCTATTAGCCTTTGACTTAACTCCTGATTTATCAGCCAACTCATCTCATAAAGCATGGTAGTGTAAGATTAGAAGTACGATTTGAATCCTCACATCATTTGTATTCAAACAATTAACTGTATAGTTTATGCTGAGTTTGATAATATTATTGAGATAGATAAAAACAAAAAAGTTACTGTAGACTATAGTAGTTAGGGTTATATCTGTTGTGTGTTAGATTTTATGAGTTATGTGTAATGCATTTTGTGTGTATGTAAATATGTGAAACGTTATAAAATTAAATAAAACAAATGGTATGCAATATAATATATTTTATTACTTTATAAATTTTCTATTTAATCTAATACAAAACATTGTTCGAGTTTAAAGTTACATCGGACTCTCTCATTAGATCATCAATAATAACGAGATGTGGGTTTTCACCATCAAACATATTAAGATTTGGAATTCCTTGATAATAGTTAACATTCGGTAAGTTATATAAAGGTTGCATTTTATCAAAGCACCATGTGATCTGATTAAAATCACAATTACATATTTCTGTAACTGTAATTTGACTACCCACATCCACGTAGTCCTGCCACAATAGCAGTAAACGGATGTATAAAGTGAAACATTACACACGTCTAAAGTTCTAAGGGGTGAAATAAAAAATGAAAGTGTTGGTGTAAACAATTAATATATTGTTTACTATAACTAATATTTTTGGGAAATCAAACAAAATTTATGATTAATTTAAAATTTTATTTTCAAGCAATAACCACTTGTAAAAAATCCACACTTCGTCACAAGAACAATGTAAAATTTTATGATTATTTTTTGCAAATATATGATTATTACACACATAACGTTTGTTTAAATTTATGACATTTACCAAATCATTGTATTTTGGACATTTGTATTCTTCAATATTAAAAATTCTATCATTCGTCGTCAACATTTTTAAAAATTGTTTTTCTGTTAAACCACCTTTGTATGCGATCACTTCGTCTTTGCACAAATTTCTAATATACCAATTTAATATGGAAATGATGTTCTCTTGTTTGTAGGCACATTTTAATTCTTCGGTCACATCAAAATATGGAATGCCGTGCACGTGTGTTTCACATTTCTCTACATTGAAAATGTTTATGAGGATATGTAATGTAAAATCCGTCCATGTCGATGATGTATCTAATATTTTTTAGATTTTGTGTCATTTTTGACCAAAATGTTAAAAGTATTTACACGTGACTAAAAATATGTTTGTTCCAACAAACTTCACTTAAAAATGCTTCATTACTTCCCATCATCCCATTTCTTCCTTCTGCTCTTGTCTTCCTGTAATTTAAGTAAACAGAATCACATTCACAATGATCAACTAATGACTGTCATTGTTAAAAAGTATTTTTTAACTTTTTCACTTTCTGCTATTGTCTTTTTATTTATGGCTAGGAATTGTCCGCGGCGCTGCCTCAATGCGTGTTGGCGAACTTCACATGCCTTCGAAATTTTCTCAGACATGCAGGTTTCCTTACGATGTTTTCCTTCACCGCCGATCACGTGGTAAATCAGCACTTAAAATTGCAATTAACAATTTAATTGGTGCCGGCGGGGATCGAACCCGGGTCGCGTACTGTGAAATTTACAGCTTGCGCTAACTATATAAGCTACCACGGCTTAATCATATACACACACAATATTTAAATATAATTTGTTAACACTAAATCATACACACGTAAGAAAATAACAGAAAGAAAAGTAAGTTTATCAATAGAATAAACACTTAAAATTGCAATTAACAATTTAATTGGTGCCGGCGGGGATCTAGCCCGCGTCGCGTACTGTGAAATTTACAGCTTGCGCTAACCATCTGAGCTACCACGGCTTAATCATATACACACAGAATATTTAAGTATAATTTGTTAACACTAAATCATACACACGTAAGAAAATAACAGAAAGAAAAGTAAGTTTGTCAATAGAATACACACTTAAAATTGCAATTAACAATTTAGTTGGTGCCGGCGGGGATCGAACCCGGGTCACGTACTGTGAAATTTACAGCTTGCGCTAACCATCTGAGCTACCACTGCTTAATCATATACACACACACAATATTTAAATATAATTTGTTAACACTAAATCATACACGCGTAAGAAAATAACAGAAAGAAAAGTAAGTTTATCAATAGAATAAACACTTAAAATTGCAATTAACAATTTAACTGGTGCCGGCGGGGGTCTAGCCCGCGTCGCGTACTGTGAAATTTACAGCTTGCGCTAACCATCTGAGCTACCACTGCTTAATCATATACACACACAATATTTAAATATAATTTGTTAACACTAAATCATATACACGTAAGAAAATAACAGAAAGAAAAGTAAGTTTGTCAATAGAATAAACACTTACATCCATGGCCTTTGATGCGTTAAAGTAACACAAATGTAGTATTGATAGATCCATGGTTATACGACTTTGTTATTTGGCAGCGAAACCTGGGTATGCCAGAAGAAGCACAAAAGCAAGTTGAATGCAGTGGAGATGCGATCTCTATCGTAAAATGTGCGGTGTTACCATAGCCGACCGAAAGCGAAACAAAGAGATTCGCAATATGGCAGGATTGAAAAATGACCTTATCACAAAAATTGATAGGGGCGTACTCCGATGGTTTGGGCACGTTGAACGAATGAGTGAAGACCGAATGGTGAAGAAAATATATAGCGCGAAAGTAAATATTAAAAGGTGTCGAGTAGACCGAGACTAACTTACGGAGACCATGTGAGGAAATTACTTGAAGAGGGGAAGGTCAAGAGTACTCTGATAGAAGCTTCTTTCAGGTTATTATCTAAGAAGATAATGAACCTGAAAGAAGCGAAAGAGGTATGTAAGGATCGTGACGCTTGGCGATCTGTTCTCTCTGGCTACCCCGCTAGGGATTGTGCGTGAAGATAAGTAAGTAAGTAAGATAGATCCACTGCGGTCAAACGACCGTACACTAACTCCATGACTGCAGTTGCTTGGTCTTATATAGTACCAGTAAGTAATAATTCTAATCTAAAGAATTTCTGCAGTGGAATTGATAGTAACTTTATGCGTCAACAAGCTTATCTCACATTTTGTTGTATATCTCAACATTCCTTCGTGTTGCGTCTTGTTCAGTTCGGCGATGACTCAAATACGTTTTGTATAACACAAAATAATGCTTTAATATTTAGAAATCACTATAATTGATCATTCCTATGTTAGTCATTGAGTAGATTGTACTGTAATAATATACTAATAGCAGTAATATCATGGATACACTAGATGTACAACAACATCTGAAAAAGATTCAACCCAGTCTAGAAAATAATGTTTATGCTGCCAATAGACTGCCCATGTACACGCACGTCCCAACGTATATAATATGCAATTTGGATACAGATGATAAACCGGGGTCACATTGGGTAGCTTTATAATATATCGATACGAATGACGTCGGTCAATATTTTGATTCATACGGACGAGCACCTGTACGATATCATCTAGAGTTTTTAAAAAGGAATTGTAAAAGATGGAACTGGAATGTTGATAGGATTCAGAATGAGTGGACTTCAGTTTGTGGCGAATATTGCTTAATGTATTTGCTATATAAGTTTCAGGGATGTTCAATGCATAGTTTTAAGAGTATATTTACAGGGAACACATTGTACAACGATATTTTAGTGGATGAGATGTTTCGCTCCTATTTTATAGATAATAAGTAATAAGATTTTGTATTTCGTAAATAAAAATTGTAACAAAATTAGGTAATGTACTTTATTGATGATTCAGATTAGCGTTGCAGTTAGGAACAAAGGAGTATAATACAATAGCACTGATAATCCGACGCATACGTCGTGGAAGAATAGATAATGACGGTATTCAATGAACAATAGATAAATAGATAAGAATAATGGTGTGCTAATGACGGTGGAGGCCCTCACCGGATATCAATTAGAAAAGATTTAATTGATCTGCACATCTCCAGAACCGTGCATCCTACGCAAAAACGGACCGCAGATTCGTGATCAGAGCATGCCAAAACCTTTTTTTTTTTGTAGGATCGTGAGTCGACGAACGTTGTACCACTTCTGACTCAGTGAGCCAGAACTGGTACTAACTAACTACTTGTGACGTATTTCCACTTTTTAACTCTCGAATGATTGCTGAGCGGAGTATTCAAAACAAAGAAGCGGTGATATCTATTCGTATTAAAGTGAACAATTTCTTCGGCCATTCTCTGGTTTGATTCTTATCTTCGGGGACCCTCACAATGTATCCGTTCCAATGACACTTATTCCAACTGTACCGTTTCAACCGTAAGCAGTAAAAGTTTTTACTGGAAATGAGAAATTCTATCTTAGTCCTCACGGGTGACAACGCATCTGCATTTTGATTTGTAATCGAGGTTTGATGTAGATGTCTATGGGCCACAGCAACCACTTAACATCACATGGACTGTGCGCTCGTTTGTCACCCTATCTTATAAAAAATACCTAACGAGGTTGTGGGGCAAACATATATATCGTATAAGGATACGCCGACGTGGGTAATCTTATAACGGGTGTACCCCAGGGTGGCGTCTTGTCTCCTTCGCTCTTCACCGTTTTTATAAATTCTATAACAGAAATAATATTCTCCAACAGCCATCTTTATGCAGACGATTTGCAGCTTTACCGTCACTTTGTGGCATCTAAAGCTAAATTGGCGATAGAAGCACTGAATAATGACTTGAAGAGAATTAGTCGTTGGTCCAGATCACATGGTATAACTATAAATCCAAGTAAGTCTCAAGCAATAATAGTAAGTAGTAGATACACTAGTAGCTCCAGCAGGCGCGCGAGCCGCTCCTGCGCGGGGCACTGCGTGACGCGCTGCGTGAACTCGCCACGCTCTCCGTGCGCCCCACGCAGCGCGGCATTAAGGAGATCGACGGGAGCCACGCCTGCTACAGGTGAGTGTGTAGCGCGGTGTACATGTGTACATGTGCGGCGTGCAGCTGGCACGCGAGCCGCTGCTGCGCGGCGCACTGCGCGATGCGCTGCGCGAGCGCGCCAAGCACTCCATGCGCCCCACACAGCGCGGCATCAAGGAGATCGACGAGAGCCACGCCTGTTACAGGTGAGTGTTTCAGGCGGTGTACATGTGCGGCGTGCAGCTGGCGCGCGGGCCGCTGCTGCACGGCGCACTGCGCGACGCGCTGCGCGAGCACGCCATGCTCTCCGTGCGCCCCACGCAGCGCGGCATTAAGGAGATCGACGAGAGCCACGCCTGCTACAGGTGAGTGTGTCGCGCGGTGTACACGTGTATATGTGCGGCATGCAGATGGCGCGCGAGCCGCTGCTGCACGGCGCACTGCGCGACGCGCTGTGCGAGTGCGCCACGCTCTCCGTGCGCCCCACGCAGCGCGGCATTAAGGAGATCGATTGATGAATCGGTGGCGAAGCTTCTATAAAAGCCAAAAAGCCGGACTTGCCTTATTAAAACTGAATCAATCAATATCAACTAATGAAATAACTCATAAACTCTTTCAAATTATTTCAATTTTCTCGCGCACTCCACTGTTCGACACATGTCGACGGATGACCTCGTATTGCATTAGCGATAATCACAGAATACCTTTGTATAAAGCGATACTGCTGCTGTCATAAAAAGTGAGTTTTAATAAAGCGATTAGTTGTCTCCCTCGCTCGCGTGGGCTTTTTACGGGGCTTTCGAGAAGACGATCGCTCTCTTTGTAACCTATGGCAAATATTCTATAATGAAATATAACTACGAAATGTTTATATAGCAATTACTACTGAGCCACAAGCCTGGCTTTGCCATGAAGTTGTTTAGGAGTGCATTAGCGACTAGCGAATGGGGTGCGGGCCATTCGTATGCAAGTTCACTTCACATTTCAATGTTTATGCTTGTTTTTGTAGTATTTGTTAAAAATTTATGCTTTTTCAAAGATTTTCAGTGAAAATGGGAGGATAATAGTGTTCATTGCGATGAATATAAGTGTGTTGAAGTGCTAATCGGCGAGGAAAAGGTAAGATGTTTAAAAATGAAATTTAACATTCAATAAACATTCTTTCTTCTTGGATTCTTTAGTATTAAAGTTTAAATATAAAGTTTTAATAACTCAATATTTATATTACCATACGAATTAAAAATATCAATTTGAACACCAGCATAAAATATGAGACACCTAGGTTTAATTTTATAGGAAATAAGTGTTACAATCTTTTTTTAACGTGAAGCCCAAATTTTAATGAAATAAATCAAAAAGTCACTTAGTTATTTTTTTTAGTTATTTCCAGTATATAAAATAGCGCCATCTACTTAATTCTATAGGTAAAGTCATTTTATCGAAAGAAAATTGGTTGATTCTCACGATGGTACCTAAACATTACGTTAGATGGCACAAATACGCTATCGGCTAATTTATATTACCATAATATGAGTTTAAAAATATCATTTTGTACGGTTTATTATGAATTGAAAATGAATAATTATATAATAAATAGTCATTATTTTATGGTAAAAAATTAGCAAAGCTTTATCTTCTCATTATAACTATCTAATTCCTGTCGTAATCTGTTATTTTATGCATATAACTTAAACAAAATAATAATCTGTCACGCGTCCCTTTTTTTAACTTTGTACATAATTTGTTTGTACTTTTTTCATGCTTTTCTTTTGTTAATGTATTGTAGTTTGTAAATATCTCAAGCAAACCCAAACGGCTCTTTTCAAAACCGACACCGAAGGTGTGCAATTGCATATTATGTCATACAATCTATTTAGCGGTAGTATGCTTTCTGTGTGCTTTGTTAAACACGTCCTTGACAGCACTGAATATGAAACTAAAGAGTGGAGACAGCTCAAGATTGGTGTATTTTTATTAAACTGCTAAAAACAACAAAACCATATCTTGGGCTTGCCCTAGTTTGGAGCCCTAGCTTCACCACTGTGATTCATCACAGTGGTGAAGCTAGGGCTCCAAACCCAAGCTAGGGCACCCTGCCAGATGTGATTATCAATTGCACATCAATTGCGTATACTGAATCTGTGAAGAACTTGGGCTTAATTATTGACAATAGGTTGTCATGGGGTCCTCACATAACGGATTTAAGCAGAAAAGTTTATTATGCTTTCCGCTTATTAAAACTTCTTCAAAGTTTTTTACCCTTATCGACAAAAATCTCTCTTGTTCAAACTCTTATTTTGCCTATCTTAGATTACGCTGATGTCTATTTTTTCGATGCCACGGAGGAGCAATTAAAAAACTTGAGCGATTGCAAAACCTTTGCATTTGGTATATTTTCGGACTCAAGAAATTTGACCACGTCTCTAAATATAGAGAGCAACTCAAGTGGCTCCCGATCCGACTTCGCAGGAACACGTATCCTTTGTCTCCTTTTTAACATCCTACATAGCCCAAATTTCCCTACATACCTCCGAAACCGATTTACCTTTCTTAAATCCTCAAATACAGTTTGTAGATCTCACCTTAATACCCTCTAAAAATTCCCATCCTTTAATACTCATTCATATTCCCGTTCATTCTCCGTATAAGCAGTAAGACTCCGGAATTCGCTTCCTACTCACATTCGAGAAATCAAAACAGTGACATTGTTCAAAAAACGAGTGAAAGAACATAATTTATCGCTGTCTTCCATGTAAGTCTCAAATCTGTGATATTTTCTATACTGTTACAAATTTAAGCATGTACATATATGTATGTATGTGTATGTTTGTTTAAATATGAATATATTTATGTATTTGTATATACAGTGTGTCTGGTCAATTTGTATATATGTATTAATATCACCATCATTTTCACCTTATTATTTTTATTTCTTTTAATTTGTTTGTTTGTTTGGTGATCCAGTGTTCTTCAACACATCTTGCTTTAGGACCTCGAATTTTCGTTGGTTAATCTTCACTTTTTATTTTTATTTCAGACACATCTCGTTAGTGATGTTGCTGATCTCTGGCTTTGAGCCCTACCGCTCTGGCCGTTCTTAATCTTTACTTAAATCATAGCGACTAAAGCTTGCTTAAGATTAATTTCTTTATCTTTATCTTCACTTGGGAGCGGCTGACTACTCCCTTAATAAAAATTTTTTCCACGCACGAGCGGATGACAACTCCTTAAATAAGCCTGAATGTCCTTTCGAAAACACACTTTTAGAGTGGTAGTCATTGAATGTGAACTCCACCATTACCTGAATGCAGATGATGAATGAAAGAGATAGTATATCTGATTTTGCCTGGTGATGTCTGTTACTGCAAAGCTGTGTTTTTATGGTTTATTTTAGAATGTACATGTCAAAATTTTTGCTGAGTCAAAAATTTTTCAGGGTCGGGGGAAAATGTAGTGTTATCTGTTATGCTACTTACACATCATTTTACACTATTTTAAATTTATTTTTCCATTCTGTTTTTGATTTTCTGCATTCACCTCAAAACTGGATATTTTGCATCACCTTTATTTCCATAGGATCCTGTAACGTTTTTAAACCATAAGAACACAATAACAAATCATTTTCTCTTCGTATTTTCACGCTATCAGCACTTTTTAAATCGGTGTCGATGAAGTCTACCTTTTTCGATCTTTTATTTAGTTCTCCGTAACTCTGCAATTTCGGGCTTCGTACGCGCTGTTGCGCTACGTTTTTTCCTATATCAATAATATCTCATTTTTCACTTAAATCTTGCCGTTTCTCTATTACGAGCCTGAAACCAAAATTTGACATGTTTTGACATCGTTGTTTATCTGGTTGTCATGGCAATTTTTATTCAAATTCGTTACCGGTCTGATGTTTTTATTTCAATACTTCCACAAAAATACTCTTTTCCTCTTGGCCATTTACAAAAATTTGCTTTTAATTTAAATAACTTCCCGTTCTTGTCCGAGATCTGTCGTCGAGCGCGGAGCTCCCTAAAAAGGTATAAAAGCCGAACAATCAGCCAATAATGAGAGTCTCGCTTCAGCTTTCAAACTAGAAGCATCTCCTAAAGGCCTTATCCCGGGGCCGCACTGCCCCGGGATCCTGCAAGCCTCTGCCTTCACCTGAAGTCGTCGCCTAGCCACGCCTACGCCTCCACCTACTAGTGCCCGCGCTACCTTTAGCCGCTGTGCGTGCTTGCTCCAGGTGCTGCGAGCGCCTACTTCAGGCGCTGAGAGCATCTACCAAGGCGCTGTGTGTGCCTACTCCAGACGCTGCGTGTGCCTACTCCAGGCGATGCGTGTACCTACTCCAGGCGCTGCGTGTGCCTACTCCGGGCGCTGTGTATGCCTACTCCAAGCGCTGCGTGTGCCTTCTCCAGACGCTGTGTGTGCCTAGATCAGGCGCTGCGCACCTACCACAGGCACAGCCTGTGCATACTCCGTGAGCGGTGAGCACCACTGCCAAGCGCGGTGTGCCACTTTGGTCTTCGGGCTCCGTTTCAGTACTCATTTATCTTTATTTATATTTATATGTATGTATTTTTTTTAAATAATTGTAATTCACGTCACCCATCATCATTTTCATACTTTTTTATATAAAACTGTAAATATCTTTTAAAATTTTAAATAAATTATTCGTTTTTGTTCTGTTTTTGTTGTTTCGTTGTTGTTAGGTTAGGTTCTTTTGTTTTTAATTGTCACTTCACGACATTTTGGCGCCCAACGTAAAAGTTCTCTTTCTCTCTTAATTTTTTTTCATTTCTTCACCTTTACTGCGCCTTATCCATTTCCTTTTGATTTAATTGCTTTCTCTTTCGTTCTTAACTCTTTATTTATTCATCCTTTTCATATCTTCCAAATTCTAAAACAAAACTTCATCTAGTTTTTCAACTTATCTGGATTATATTTAGACCCACATATAACACTTCACTTACATTCATCACTTTAATATTTTTTATTCTAGATAACTTAAAGAGGTACAATTTTTAATTAAATTTTTATTTCTTAAACTTAATTTTGCACTTAATTATAACAATGAAAAGGGTTATTAATTTAATGTGGGAGACACTGTTTGGCGTAAAAACCATGTTTTAAGCAATGCCGGCGCATACTTTAATGCTAAACTTGCCCCTAAGTTCATCAAGTGCAAAGGGATAGCTAAACTGTCACCACTAGTCTATGTGCTTGAAGACCCTAATGGAGTTAGAGGAAAGTGGTACATCAAAGATGTAAAATCATAAATTTTCTTAACTTTTATTAACTGTTAATTAGTATATAATAAGTATAAGTATAAGTAATAAGGCATTAAGTACTATTATTAATTTAATAATTGTTCAAAATGTCCACCTCTATTCTGTAGACAGGCTACTGACCTTACAGCCTTTTGTTGTGTGGCCCGTGATATTAATACTATATCGGATCTTATGTCATCCGCAATCGTCATTATTTTGTCGAGCAGTTCTTGTCTGCTATTTGGGACTGTAGCATAATCCCTCTGCTTCATCCATCCCCATAAAAAATAATCCAGAGGTGTTAAATCCGGAGAGCGAGGTGGCCAAGCTACCGTTCCACCACGTCCTATCCATGGTGAATAATTTTCATTAAGAAAAGCTCTCACAGCACGTGCGTAGTGAGCTGGTGCACTGTCCAACTGTAGCCACATGCGCCTTCGGTTCATCACTCGTAATTCCTCCATGATTTCCCTAAATGTGTTCCTTACAAAATCTAAAAATCTTAGGCGATTCATTATATTTGGTAATTCAATTGGTCCAATTACTTTGTCATCAATCATAGCCGCCCACACATTTACTGAAAATTCATGTTGAAATTTACTGGGCCTTACTGCATTTGAATTTTCTTGCATCCATAAATGCTGGTTTCTATGGTTTATAATACCAGCTCTTGTAAAAGTCGCCTCATCGGTCCACGTGATTTTTTTACAAAATGTCGGTTGACGTCGCACACAACCGTTGAGCCACGAGCAAAAAGTGTCTCGCACAGCATAGTCTGGCTCTCGAATATCTTGTACGCGACGAAAATGGTACGGATGCATGCCTTCGCGTTTTAAAATTTTCCACACAACCCATTTTGACAAATGCAGCATCATTGCTATTCGCCTTACACTGAGCCTGGGATCTTGGTAAATAAATTGAAGAACTTCTTCTTCTGCTTGCACTGACACTATGCGGGAGCGTTCATTTGGCGGCCTTTGGATGCCATATTGCGACAATCTTAAGTGAATGTCAACAAAAGTTTGTCGACTGGGTGTAGGCCGGTCGGGATACCTCTGACGATACATTCGTACGGCGGCAACAGCGCTTCCATTACATTTGCCATACACGAAATGCATGTCAGCTATGTGATGAGACGAATAGTTAGACATGTTTTTATCCGAAAATTACGTAGTCACTGCAAACTACAACAAACTCAGCAGAATATTTCGGTGAAGGAATAGCTCACAAAACGGAACGGAATAGTAGCGATCGCAACGCAGAGCGGAGGACAACTGATCTAACAAACATTTATCTTCGATACCTGCGCTGGTCAAACATGATTTTTTGTCCTACTTATTCACCGCCTAACAATAATACAAATCATTTTCCGTCCTTGTCACATAAACCCTATTCAATGTAGCAGGTAGCTCTACATGGGTTTGAGACCGTCGCAATAGGGTCATATTCTAACAGCCCTAACTCTCGAGTTACCTATGCAAGTAAGAACAATAATTTTAATGTCAATTTGTAAGTAATATCCTTAAGTATTAGGACAGTATTAAAAAATTTAGTATCAATGTGCTACTTTTTGAATTATATTAAGAAAAATAAAAAAAATTGTCAATTTTTTTTACTTAAATTAGCATTGTAAATGTTTTAAGATATTTTGTAAGGAAGACTTTCCAAGATGTTTATTTTTATTTGATAGATGCTATTTTTACCTTTTAAATAACATTTTTTTTACATCTGTAGGACCTTTCTGTCCAGAGAAATCTGCATCTTTTGGCAGAGGTATCTACAAGAATAAAAAAAATTAAATGGCGGCCATTCCGACAGGAGGGGGCGTAGACCCCCATATATGGGTGTTTTCGTCGATGAAATTAGGTATATTTTGTAACCTTAAATTATCGCTAGGTCGTGACCAGACACACTGTATATATATATATATTAAGTATTTGTGCTTATGTATTTATTTTATTCCCATATGTGTTGTATAATAACAAAGTGCACACCTTACAATCGTTTATTAATCGTATATCTTTGAAACCGGCCTACTGGAAGAAATTTTATTGTGAGATAAGTAGAGCCTTTGTACAAACTTTTTATCACGATGTGTCCTCTCCCTTACTTGTGTGTCCATAAATTGTTTAAAAAAAACTATTTGTTTTAGTAAAGTTTAATCCATAAAACGTTTAAAAAAGATTAGTTCAGTAGAGTTAAAATCAAAAACGCATTCTTGCGATATACCAGACAAGAAATCATCGAAATGGGTGACCTTTACGTATGTATATTCGCGGTTGAATTTTGTGAACTATGTTGCATTGGAGACCTTGGAGCACGAGATCTATGTCGTAGTGGCGGACCTTGTGACGTCGACGCAACAGCGTCTTGGTTTTCAGTAACAGCAAACCGTAATCGACTTCGACTCCTGTATGTTACGCGCCATGAATTTCTTCGTGTTGGTGCAGAATATCGGTGCCGTCGCTGGGATAATCTATCACGTGAAAGCCGCCGACGACGCGTGATGTGGGTAATTACTGATTCGTCTATCGGCTAATTTTCAGAAGCAATCGTTTCCTGAAAATGTATAAAAGTCAGCATGTCTTTGTTTACCAACCATACGAATTATGCATGGGCTTTGTAGTGAAGTTTTTACCTACCTTTTCTAAATTTATATGAGGATCATTCTCAAAGTCGTAATCATCTAGAGATATACCTTCTAAAATAGCCAATAACTCATCATCACTAGTCATGATGCATTTGACAAAAAAAATGTAACAACACAAAGATATACACAACACTAAACCAAGCATTTACGGTCATGTCAAAATATAGATTTGTCGAAAACTGTTTTCATATATTCACTATCATTATCATTACAGCCTCTCACAAGTCCACTGCTAAACATAGGCCTCCCCCAAGTAATGCCACACAGCACGGTCCTGTGCCACCAACATCCATCATCTTCCTGATGTCTTACCAGGTCGTCACTCTATCTAGTGGGGGAGTCGCCCTACACTGCGCCTACCGGTACGAGGCTGCCACTCGAGAACCTTTCTTCACCATCGGTTATCGGTTCATCGAGCTATATGACCGGCCCATTGACACTTGAGCTTACTAATCCATTGGGCTATGTCGGTCACTCTGGTTTTACTGCGGATATGCTCATTTCTGAGTCTATCACGCGGAGAAACTCCGAGCATAGCCCTCTCCATAGCTCGCTGAGCAACCTTGAGCGTCCTAATACGGCCAGCAGTAAAAGATCACGTCTCAGATTCGTAAGGCATCACTGGCATCACGCCCTGGTTGTACAATCTAGTTTTCAGAGTTTGAGGCATACCTGACGAGGAGATGTGTCGTAATTTCCCGAACGCTGCCCAGCCGAGTTGAATCCGTCGATTGACCTCTCGGTCGAAGTTGGACTTACCTAGTCGGACTATTTGTCCTAGGTAAACGTATTTGTCAACAACTTTGAGCATAGTGCTCCCAACAACTACCGGCATAGGTGTGACATAGAATGGACATTAAACATGATCTTTATTTTGTCCATGTTCATCTTAAGAACTCTTGGTTTCGAACTCTGGTTCTGTACTCGGATAGCCATCGCAGCCCTACTGTACAAACACTTCAGCACTTCGATATACCCACAGTCAACTTGGCACCGCCGAAGGGACTGTAGCACCGCCCAAATTTCGACGGAATCAGAGGCTTTCTCATAGTCCACATACGCCAGGCAAAGTGGCAGATTGTACTCTTCGGTCTTCTGTACAATCTGCCGCAGGGTATGTGTGTGGTCTATGGTACTGAAGTCTTTTCGGAAACCGGCTTGTTCGGGAGGCTGGAAGTCGTCGAGTCTGCGTGCGAGACGATTCGTAATGACTCTCGGAAACAGCACGTAGACGCGGCTCAGAAGGGATATCGGTCTGTAGTTCTTCAAGAGGGCGTTGTCACCTTTTTTGAAGAACAAGACCACCGCACTTCTACTCCACGCCTCCGGAGTATAGCCACCACGGAGAACGGAATTGAAGGGCTTCTGAAGGACTTCAAGTACTGGTGTTCCACCCGCTTTCAGAAGCTCCGCTGTAATTCCATCCTCGCCTGGTGCCCTGCCGTTTTTAAGGTGCTGGAGAGCCATTCTAATCTCGCTCAGACTGACGTTTTATTTATTATTATCCTTAAATCATTGAATTATACAACACTAGAGGAGCAAACCAAATTACCGCGCGTCGAAAAAAGTGTAACCACTATCCAAACGCGACGACGTAGCTTTGAAACTAATAAAATTTTTAAGTAAACATATATCTATCTCACTTTTGCGAACAACACAAGTTGCGAAAACAATATCGTCGCTAAGATTAGATAAAGATAGACACACAAACATGCAATGGCGGGTTGGTGTGGCATACTATATGAAATTTTACCTAAAATACGCAATAAAAATGAGTTTTTTAAGCTGCAGTTAATTTTCTTTATACTAAAAAAGTATATTTTATTTTAAAATCTTTATTACGTCCCCTTATAAAAAAAAGCTTTTTTTACTTCTATTCATCTAAGCTTATTAGATGAATAGAAGTAAACATAATGATGAAATAAAACGTATTTTATGGTACTAATAAATCAAACAATATAAAATAGGTAATAAAATATAATTAATATAAAATTTATATGAAATTACCTATTTTATATTAATAATATAAAATTATTAATATAAAATAGGTAATAAAATATTTTAATAGATAATTCATGAATAAACTAAAATAAGAATAATTAATTATTTTGTATGAAAGTTAAAACGTAGTTTTTATTATAATTTCCAAAATATTTAAAATTAGAGGTAACAAATTAACTTACTCCATTAATTATATAGTCTCCCATTAATGTAGGATAATCACAAATGTGGAAAAGTGGCAACATTGAACCTAAATGGCAATATTCGATAATTTTATTTAATTATTTGAGGTTTTTTAAAATTTAAAATGATTCCACTTGATTTATTACGTTTTTGTGACCTTGAATAGCATTCTTTCACTACGCATTTAGGTACCCATTTTTGTCGCGGCTCAACTCTGTCGGCGTCACATTGAACAATGAACTCACGTTAGCTAGGCATATGGCTGTGGCCATATTTGCAGTGGCAACGCTTTGGCGCTGTTATTACTGATCTGGTGTTATATAAATCAATGCCTTAAATGTAATCAAACAAAAAGGTTTTAAATAAGATAATTAAAACTCTATTTGCACATTGTTGAATCAACTACAGCCAAAATGTATTAAAACAAGGATATTATTGTGTTCCTCTATTTTTAATAGTAATATCATAGTTTAACCGTATGACTTAACACATCCATAAGTGACGAATAAAATCATCAGTGGCATATGAATGTAGGACAATTATATTTAATGCTGTACCTACTATATTAAAGATAAAGATTGAATTGAAAAATAATGCAAAAGAACAATAACAATAGTATAGTACATGAGTGTTTTATTAATCATATTTTAAGATAAAAGCTTTTTATCGACGTAATTCCTAGGACGGATTATTCCGTCGTTGGCGATCAATATCACAGCAATAATCGTAGTATTTATTGAATTCACTTGTATTTCGTGAATAAATGAAAGGAATGGAACTTGAAAAAGTTTATTATTCTATATCATTTAATTCATTAGTGACAACCATGGTCTTTTTTTCGGATTGAGAAACCGGTGTCTTATGAGTTCGATTTTGTCTTATGAGTAAGAGTGACGGTGTAAGAATCTCCACTACAACATATCGTCTATGTGTCGGTAAGAGGAGACACAGTGAAACAGCAACAAGAAATGGTCGGCAGCATCTTACAATTTATGGGAATTTAATAATATTTATAAAATTTAATAGTTAATTCGTAAAATTTTTGAAATTAAAACTACCTTTACGGGTTTTATCGCATTTAATTTTACTTTTAATTATTTTTATTTTTAATTCCCGACGTTTCGATCGAAACGATACGATTCGAATTAAAACCCGCGTAAAAGCGAGTAGAAATTTCTGACCATAGAGGGTTGCCACTAGTTTCCAATTTCAAGGTTGTGGAACAAGGTGTACCTCAAGGCTCAATTTTAGGACCACCTTTTGCTTGCTATGTATTGTGCAGATATGGTAGATCACATCAAACATTGTAGATACCATATGTTCGCTGATGACACACAGATTTACATATCATGTAAGCCTGAGGAAACTCAATCAGCAATAAACAAATTAAACGAAGATTTAGAAGGCATTGCTGATTGGTCAAAATCGAATGCTCTTGTTCTAAACGTATTTCCGTTTAGAACAAGAGGATAGCAAGAGCAACAGAGTCAAAGTATATGATTCTAGGAACGGCTAAGCAAATTCAAAACATTGCGAATCAACGGCTTCATGTCACAATAAAAGGGGAACAAATTGAACGAGTGACTGAAACTCGCAATTTAGGTCTGCTTATGGATGATCGTTTGCGCTTCGAGAATCACATACTTAATACTGCTAGAAATTGCTTCTACAGACTTAAAGTCCTGTATCAAATTAGAAATTTCCTGAATACAGACATTCGAATAAGGCTCTGTGACTCATTAATTCTTTCTAAATTTAATTACATGGATGTAGTTTATGGTCCTCGTCTATTAATACGTAATCAAAAACTCATTCAGTTAGTTCAGAACGCTTGTGCAAGATTTTGCTTCGTGGATGCCGCCACGCACTCACGTTACGCCGTACATCAAGGAAGGCAACATTTTAAAAACGAAATATCGTCGTCACTTTCATTTAGCAACCCCACTGTTTGGTATAATTAAATATAATATGCCACCTTATCTCTTCCAAAAGTCGGTGTGGACGCGCGACGTAAATTCAAAAATATCTCGTGCGTCGATTTATTCTCTCGCCGTGCCATTCCATCGCACCGCTGCTTTTCGTGGGAGCTTTAGGTACGCTGCCTCAAAGTGTTGGAACGACCTGCCGCCACCGCTTCGTAGCCTGAAAACAATTAAAACATTTAAAGAAAAATATAAAAACTATCTAATATTAACTCAAAAGAACATGAGCTAAAGCGTACTACTCACCAAAATACCCATAGCACATACCGCACATAGCACAGGCGGTCAAGGTCGCAACTAATGAAGTGAAGTGATGAAGTGTTAGAAATACGAGTATACATATAAGAAAACGAATACAGCGTAATAACAACTTTTTGAAATAATATAACGTATTAATTAATAAAGTTAAGAACACACTGGTAACACAAAATTTTTTGAAAATAAAAATAAAGTGCATGTATAATAAGCACATGGACATACCTCCGGTTTGAAATCAATAACTTCAGCATAGTTAGACAGATTGGTTTTAAAATATTATTGTGTCACGCGCGGATGTCTGTACGTTACTACTTACTATCAGTTCGGGCCCACTGAAAACCAGCGCTGTTGCTCCGGCCACAGCATAAGCTGAGTGAGGTCCGTTTGTATGACGCGCCACAACATACTCGTACAATATGAGAAACGATATTTTTTTTTGTCGTTCTATTTTTTTTTTAAATTATA